TGAAGGAAAAGTTTTTGAGTCGTGAGAGAATTTTTCAACCCTAAAGTGCAATCAAAAATCTTAAAGCGCAGTAAAAAAAAAATTTGTAATCCATCAGCGCACGAACAATAAAAACTCACACACAAAAATAAACTTTCAACATGTTTATTACAAAATCGTTTATTACAAAAAGCAAGGGCGAAAGGAAAAACCTAAGCAAAAGTTACAAAAAGCAAGCAAAAAAAGCAAGGGCGAAATTCGACTACGAAATGGGTCTTACCTTCAGGCACTTGATTAATACAAGTTAGCATCGGACAAAGCCATATATAGAGATAAGCTAAGTTGTGTTCTTTGTTTCCGAAAGAGATAATTGTTTAAACAGTTTTAAGAGAACCTTCATGTCTTTCTCTAATTCGAAACAGATTTTTGCCCTTTTTTTCAGATCCCTTAAGAAACTTCTTTCCAAGGAACACGTGGAACACATACAACGCGGACGATACCCATGCATGTTTATTTACTCATCCGCCACGGCACAGCTTCCATACAACGTTTCTGTATAGATTCTTGAAACACTTTTTCCAATTTGTCTTGTTTCTCTTTCAGTGCTCCTAATATTTTTTCCAAATTGGATTTTGTATTTAATTGTTCTACTTCGAGTTGTCTTATGATGGATTCTAAAGATTCCAAATAATCTGATAGCATGTAGTCTACATGCGACTTTACTTGTTCTAAGGTTGTTTCCAACTGTGTCACTTTACGAGTTAATGTCTGTAGACTCTCTCGTATATTTAGAGCCTTGGAAGTTTGTTGTTGTTGTTTCAAGTGCTCCAAGACTAGGGAGTCTACTTCCTTTTTCAGTTCTTCTTGTGTCTCTTTGATGTTAACAATTTTTTCAAGTATTTGTTCAGCCACGGAAGTGCATGGAAGATGAATGATGAAAGAGAGTAAATGAGTCAAGTTATATAGGTATTTGTTTGAACCTAGTTTGACTGGTGATGATGTCAGTTTGCTTGCCCGAATGTGCCCAATTCCCTAGAGTAGAAAAACTATGATGTTCTTGATGCTTGCCCAAACTTGCGCATGTCACATGTTTGACGAGTCATGATGTCACTTTAAAAAACAAAAAAACATTTTCACTTGCCCACACTTGCCCTTATCTCTAGAGAAAAAAACTAGTTTGACCGGTAACAACGTCATTTTATGCTTGCACAAGTTACATGTTTGACGAGTCATGAGGTCACTTCATAAAACGAAAAAAAATTTTTCACCTGCCCACACTTGCCCTTATCCATAGAGTAAAAACTAGTTTGACTGGTAATAACGTCATTTTATGCTATAAAAGAAAGAAAATCAAACGAAACATAGCAGAAGCACACCTAAAAGCTAAAAGAAAGAGAACCAACCTGACCCATAATCAATCATAAAGATGACTTGGTTCCTCCAACAAAAGTGGTGAAGATTCAAGAAGAAGTAATGGAAGAAGGCGAAGTACGAGACATTTTGGAAGAAATGGGTTTTGAAGTCCCTTCCCCCTCGCTAAGATGTTTCTTTCATCCTAAAAAAAGAGTTGGAAAAAAAGACTTCCCAAGCTGGGTTTAATCACAGGCGATGTCCCCTGAAAGAATGCCCCGTCTTTATCTGTGAAGATCGTTTGAAAGATTATTACGCTTGTGCACACGATTCAGAGAAGCTATTAGCCGTGTACTATGTTTTGCTAAGAAAGAATTTGCTGAAATGTCAGCGTCGACAACCCATGCAACTCTGCCTGTCTTACAGTGACATGAATCTGAAACGTCTGTACTCCCATTGTCAGAGAAATCGCTGCAAAGTATTTCAATGGACAGATGAAATGCCTACCGGTCGCAATCAAGAATTATGGAATCCCAATTTTGTGGATTTCAATGATCCCTTGTAGGAAGACATCTGCGCTCATACTCAATTCCAAACGACCCAAGACTCCAACAAGATTGAATTTCCTCCTGAAGTATGGGGGCATGAAATACAGAGCAGAAGATCGTGAAGATTTGTTGCGTATTGTGTACATGATGCGCCAATTGAGACACAAACAAGAGATATAGAGGAAAAAAAATCGAGAATCAAGAATCATTTGTTGCAGTTTTCATCGTGACAAGACGCGTACCTTTGATAACGTCTGAACCCTTGCCTATGGAGAGTTTACAGCATGAAGAAACAGTGACTCCGGACGTTAAGACGGATGTGGTAGAAATATTTGAAAAGAAACTTAGAAAGACAAAGACAAAGTCCAGGAAAAAAAAGTGTCAAATGTTCAAAATCGAAAAATTTCTGAAAAAATAAACAAAGAGGACCGCAAGGAATTTGTTTAAATAAGAGAGCATCTTTGTTTAGTTTGTTGTCAAAGATAAAGTGGGCCAAGACTCCTTTAGTAAAACTGTTGGGTAAAAAGAAACTAGATAGGATGTAATATAATGACATGATTGTTGTGAATAAAGTTCAGTTGTGAATTGACATCATGAGTTGTGTTTCTTGTGTAGCGAGCTTTGTCAGCAAAGCCATAGATAGATTTTGTTGGAAGATTGTGTTACAAATATGTAGAGACATTTATCAAAAGTGTTTTGCTCCAGAAGATTGGATAGTGTTTGAAGAGGAAGACATGTATCCACCTGCGAAAGTGTTTGCCAAAACGGTCACGAGTGCCTTTCGTTTCATTGTCTTTATACTATGGTTGCATGATACTTACCCGGAAGATGCCTGGATTCATTTCAAACACGCAGAACGTTGTACTTCCATCTTTTCATTAATACGCCTATTGTTGAACCTATGTCATGGCACCCCGCACCAAGAATAGAAAAAAGAATAAACATGACAAAGAAAGAGAATTACTTGAAGTTTATGGAGATCCTACAAAACCGGGAAGTTTGGGAGGTGCGTTGCGTTTTGCTTGTATACATCGTCTGAAACCTGCCGAAGCTCAAAAGATTCTCGAAAAAGATTTGACTTACACGCTCCATCGACCAATACGACGCGGAAGATTTCCCACCTTACCCTTATTGGTGTTTGGTAAAGACGAGCAATGGGTTGCAGATTTAGTGGAATGCAACCTTTATCCAAATATAATAGAGGAAATCGTTATCTTTTGGTAGTCGTGGATGCATTTTCAAAATATACTTGGGTAGAACCCATAATAAAATCTAAAACGGGAATAGCCGTTACCGAGGCTTTCAAAAAAATCTTGAAACGTGCCGAAGGAAGAACACCACAAACATTGCAAACGGATGATGGAAAAGAATTTTACAATCACACATTTCAAAAATTGATGAAAGATAAAGATATTCATGATTTTTCTACGACCGGTGATACAGAAGCCAGCATGGTAGAACGATTTAATCGCACTTTGAAAAGTAGAATGTATCGTTATTTCACAAGTGCTAATACTTACAAGTACTTGAATGTCTTACAAGCATTGGTCAGAGGATACAACGAATCCTTTCATCGAAGTATAGGAATGAAACCCTCAGAAGTGACTTTGAAAAATGCTAGTGATGTGTAGGATACATTGTACAAAAATTAAAACAACAACGAAAATTGAAACCCCGATTTCAAGTCAACGATAGAGTTCAATTAAACAAAAAATCCAGGATGTTTAAAAAAGGATATTTACCAGGTTGGACTGAAGAGGTGTTTATTGTGTCAAATGTGGTACCTGGAGTGGTCTACACCTATAAAGTCAAAGAACTGGACGATACGCCCGTGCGAGGTACTTTTTATGAACAAGTCTTGCAAAAAGTACAAATACCCGACGACGCTTTGTATCGTATAGAAAAAGTCCTTAAACGCCAAGGCAATAAAGTTCTTGTCAGTTGGAAAGGTTTTCCTCCGATATATAATTCTTGGTTGAACAAGAAAGACATTCAGAAGCTATGATGGATTTCTACTTACACTTGGAGAGCAATGCGTGCGTGTAAGAGTTTCCGCGGAATTCACAGCACAACTTTAAGAATCGTTTATCTTATCCCATCTACATGAAAGAACGAGGATGGAGAGTGGGATTGGCTAATGTGAGTTATGCTCTAAGCCGTCTGAGAAGATTTTCCTACGACAAATTTGGAGAAGAGGAAAAACATATCTTCTGGGGAGGCATAAGTATGGAAATCACCTTTAACAATCAAAGCGATATTAAAAAAATAACCCTGTCCAATTCCATATACCTGACTTGGACTCGATTCGGGGAAATGGGACGCACTTTCCAAAGTGGAGTGGAATTAATGAAATTCCTGGTAGATTATTATGGGGGATTTATAACCGAGACCAAAAGACACGGTGCGGATTTCATGATTAAAAAATACACCAAAAGAGCTGATGTTGTTATGATGATGTTAGATTTCGATAAGGTCTTACTCGAAGGTAGAGGATACATTACGTTCAAGTGGGAAGGAGACGATTTGATCATCGACAACACTCACACATGGTGAGAAGACAAGAATGTATTTGGAAATGCAATGAATGCATGACCTAGTATTCGATTCGGTACAGAATTGGCCTTGGCCATGGACTGGATTCGATACGATGCTTTGAAAGATGAATACTTACTTCAACACAATAGTTTACAAATGATGTCTCTGGAAAAACCGGCAGAGAGACCTCAGGATTACCAAGGAAAGTATTGGAAAGTGGAAGTTGAGTTTCTTTATCTCATTGTATTTGCCGATTGGAAATTTACCAATCTGAATTTCTTGTTCGAGAACATGATAGGATGGAATATTCCTCACAAACACGGTATCGAGAGAACGTTGCGTTTCGAATCGAATGTGGCTGCTAGCACAATTGTGGGAATCAAATCACACATGTCTTGCGAGAAATACAATATTTACCCTCGACGAAATATTACAAACCCTCACACATCCAATATATTCCAGTGCGTCAACAATTTTGAGACATAATCAAAGTGGATCTTCGCGAGGAAAACGGCGAACACGCTACCTTTGAAACGGGTAAAACCACCGTGACTCTTCATTTCAAGCAATATGACCACTAGCGGAATCATGGTGACATTACCCAGCAGTAGTAGCAAATCGGAATTTCCCAACAATAAAATATCCAGTTATAAGATTCGTCTACCTTACCCATTGGAATTGAATGGAAAATGGGAAGTGGGATTGAGTAGCATCACTCTACCCGACACGTACCTGGAAATGAGTATATTGAAAGACTTGAACACGTTTGAACTAAAAACTGTCAGAAATTACATTGGAAACAACGTGGAAGAACCTAAAAACAATACAGCCATTTTGACTGTCACTTGCGCAATCAAACTATTGAGAGGTGCGTTTCCTGGAATAAAAAATTTTATATTGTATGTGAAGTACGACGATATCAAACATTCAAATGTCATCACGGATGGAATTAGCTTTATGAAAGTGGTGATAAACAAGTATGAAAACTTTTCATGCAACGAAGAACGAATTATGATGAAGGTCCAGGAAATAATACTTGACTAAAAGAAAGTCAGACTACGTTAAATACTGACCAGAAGACCAAGGGAATTTTTTACTTCAAATGGGAAGGAGACGAGCTGGTCTTAGACAACAAAAACTCTCCAAATAACGAGAAACCAGTACATCCTTACATGTTCGTGATTTGGAATAAAGATTTGGCTTTGAAAATGGGATGGATTACACCATGGCCAGAGAAGAACTCGTACAGACTTGGACCTAATCTCATACCGGAAAGCCATGCAGAGTACGGATGTGCCTCTGTGGCCCACGATCTGATGTTCAGACCCATGCCAACCGACAAACCTAACAGTTTTGACATGTCTACCCTTCAGTATTACTTTCACCTCGATGAAAATGAAGAACAAGTGTATCTCAGTGCGGAATGTAATTGGAGATTAAAAAATATCAACAAAGCCTTTGACCACATGATAGGAAAGACTGCACAGAGTTTTTTCGTGTACTCAGACGTGATGATGAGTGGCATAGTAGAAAATAAAGTCACCGATCTCTTGCGAGAGGTTAAATACCAATGCACGGGAGAAGGAGTGAATTATTTCGAGCCGTTACACATTCAATACTTACCAGTGCGAGGCAACACCATTCAAACCATCACAGCAGAAGTGTCCGATCACAATAAAGGGGAATTGGTTAAATTCGGAGAAGGAGACACTATAGCGACAACACATTTTAAACAGCAATCATGATTCATCGGCATCGTTTCAAACCAAACAACGGTATCAAGAGAGGAGTGACAAACGAAGTGAAACGTCTAAGGTGTCCATTGTATTGAAAGCTAGCGTGCGTTCTCTATGTGGGTCGAGACCTCAACTACAACAACAGACAAAAAGATTGGACAGGATATCCCACGATATGCATTCTTGTCCAAAGATTGGGGCAGAAGAACCATGATCCCGATACATATTTCTAAAAATGACGTAAATGATTTCAATTATAAAATTGATCCTATGACGTCATCACTATCACCATAACAACCTGACCTATGACGTCATCCGTTCTAGTTAAAATCATTATCCTACCTTTTTGACAAAAAATTTCTGGTTATTAAAACACACACTTCTAAAAAATTGGTTTTTTTCATGATTTTATAGAAACAACAAAAACCTGGATTGGCCTACACCTGTGAATTTCAACATACTCGCACAAGAAACAAGTACAATGGGGATAAATGCCGTAATCTGCATTTCATGTATGCTGTAGGATAGAGAAAAAATGATACCTTATGGAACGTTCCCGTGAAAATAAAAAATCACCAATTCATGAGGAAAAGCCACCAAGGAGGCACCATATCATAGTCCTGATAATATTTACAACCTCTACATATACCATGGTTTCTGTGAAGAGAGGCGCACCCATAGAGGTCATGAAAGTGAACAACCCGATTGAACTATAGATTAAAAAACTGACCTGAATACCCAACGAGGAATGTGGCGAGGATAATATTTCATGAGATAACAACGTCTCCATAGCCCGCAAACGAGATCCAATCTTGCACACGTTTGGGACTTAAAAAACAAAAAACAAAAACAAAAAGAACATACCTTAGGCAAGAAAGATACAAGATCCAGCTAGGAAAAATATCAAGCGTTTTATGCCATGTAAACGCTTTGCAGGAACACGTCTTAGGGGGGTGCAAAAAAAAAAAAGCCGAGTCTTAGAAGGTACTATTTAATGTTAAATGAAAAAATAACAAAACAAAAAACTTACCAAATGCCTGTGTACTTTTTTGCACTGCTTGGATTTTTTGACAATCATGTGATTGGTCCACTTGCGGATTATACTGTTTCGTTCTTTGGATGGTAACACATCAGTGAAATAGTTCGACTGAAAAAAAAACAAACCAATGATTTACTTGGGAAAAAAATACTTTTCGATTAAAAAAGCATACTCACGTCATCCCATGTTTGAAACATATCAATCTTGTTTTGTATGACTTGGAGCAAGATGATCAATTTGATTTCCAATGGACATCTTTCAAGGTTCATCCGTAGTCGGATCTGCGCTTTGGAAAGGACTGGAAACGGTAAGCTGGCTACCATCCTTACACGACCAAGGAAAAGACTAAAATGAGATCCAATAGACGTGCGACAGTCCTTTTTTATAGTAGTGACACGAGTAGACCTAATACTGGTAGGAGGGGAGGGGGAGGGATGGTGGGACATCACGTACGCTTCGACGCATGACCAAATATGGTCATGGGAAGAGCACGTTCGACGCAGTAGCCTACCATATACGGAATAGAACGACGCATCGACCTACCATATATGGGAAATGACCCTTGATACGACGCCATCTAAAAATTGGAAGGGTATTGTTCTCTCTGCGTCCTTCCATATATGGCAAACGACCCTTGATACGACGCCATCTAAAAAAAGGAAGGGTATTGTTCTCTCCGCGTTCTACCATATATGGGAAACGACCCTTGATACGCCATCTAAAAGTTGGAAGGGTATTGTTCTCTCTGCGTCCTTCCATATATGGCAAACGACCCTTGATACGACGCCATCTAAAAAAAGGAAGAGTATTGTTCTCTCCGCGTCCTTCCATATATGGGAAACGACCCTTGATACGACGCCATCTAAAAATAGGAAGGGTATTGTTCTCTCCGCGTCCTACCATATATGGGAAACGACCCTTGATACGACGCCATCTAAAATTAGGAAGGGTATTGTTCTCTCCGCGTCCTACCATATATGGGAAACGACCTTTGATTCGACGCCATGTAAAAATAGTAAGGGTATTGTTCTCTCCGGTGACGCGGGTACCCCCAAAGAGAATCACGTGTCATAGATTATAAAAAACACATGGCGTGCACCCCTCGCCAAAAATTGTTTTACACCAATCATGAAGAACGAGAACACGTACTATCTTTTGGGTTTCGATTAGGACGTGGTAGAAGAAACCCTTATATTATTGGCAGAAGGCGAAAAGCACCCGGAGCGTCCCATTACCATGAACGTCATGGAACTGGTACACCTCTTGCAGGAAAATAAGAAAGGAGCGAGACACATGAGACGTGAAAAGGTCCGTGAAAATAAGAGACGTAGTCGCGAGAAAAAGAGACACTTGAAAAAACTATTGAAAATGAAAGAGGTATGTTTTTTTTATCTTTACAGATGGTTACGCTTTATGTGTTATTTGTGGACTCCCCGAACAATGATTTCCGTGTGGTACTTCATTCCATCGTGAAAACGAACATGGAAGTCATGAAAATGAGATTGCAAGCTTTGGTGCAACGGTGATTATCATTTATTTAATTTTACACAAAAATCATAACACCATTTTTTATTTTTAAAAAACAGGTTATTGAAGGACATTGATGAGAAGGGGGAGTACATTATCAAGATACGATTAGAAGAATGGACGTGTAAAATCAAAGTATAATAAAAGTTACATGATGCAACACGGGTCTGGTCTTACTGTTGCGTGCGTAGCGTGTACCCAATCGTTTCTATTCATCTTACCCCCTCTCTCACGATAGGCTTAATATTTCTTTTCGTTCTTGTCTTGTATGCGCTTGATTCGGTCCTCGGTGGGTCCTCGGGATGCGTTCAAATCTTCCATCTATCATGTTCGCTCTTGGTATTGAAATACTTACGTATTCTTGCTACACGATCCAAACGTTTGTATTCCATCGTGGCTCTAAGAATCTGGAACGTCGCGTTTTATGCGTCTGTTTTTAGCTACTAGACTGTACCATGTGGGAGAATATTTCACATGCGTCCAAGCCTCCATGTCACCAACTAATAACGGGACAGTTTTTTGGTATCGTTCTCTCCACTTTGTGTAAGTAATCATGACGTCCCTTAGATTGTGTCCCTTGGCTTGTAATTACTTTCCCAAATCCTATGCACCTATTGTGAAAAAAAGGGTTCACGCAAACCAACTTCCATGGATCAATGTCCAAATAAAAAGAGCAATTCAACTGAGAAACAAACTATACCGCAAATATCGCCTTAGTCGGAATGACTAAACTTGGGAAAGTTATAGAGTACAAAGGAACTTAGTTACCAAACTTAAGCGAATATCTATTAAACGGTTCTTTTTGGACTCTTCGGCTAACACAACAACTCCTGGAGATTTTTGGAAGCGGGTAAAGCCTCTTCTACCATCTTCTGGACAAGATAACAGCGATGGCACATGCATAATGGATAGGGGTGCAGTTGTAAGTGATCCATCCAATCTTTTCAATGAACACTTCTCTTCACCTGTTCTTGATCGAGCTGTTTTGACTAAGTCTGTCGAAGATTTCGAACATCATCCAGGTGTAACTTCAATCTCGTCGCGCAATTTCAATCTTGGTTTTTCATTTCAACCTGTCAGTACGGAATACATTGGTAAATTGCTCACTGGCCTTAAAACAAACAAGTCTTGTGGACCTGACATTATCACTCCCATGATTCTAAAGCTATCTGCATCAACAGTCAAAGGGCCTCTGACTAAGCTCCTTAATTACAGCCTTACTAACTCAACGTGGCCACAGGAATGGAAATTTAGTAATGTTACTCAAGTCTATAAAAAGGATGATAGCTCACTTGTGGAAAACTACAGACCAATCAGTATCTTATCGTCCATTCCCAAGATTCTTGAGAAAGTTATGTATGATCAGCTCTATGATACTTTCAAGACCCACTTCTCACTGCTCTTCTAAAAATGGTTGACGACTGGAGACTAGCCCTGGATTCTAAGAAAGTCACTGGAACTATTGCCATTGAGCTTTCCAAGGCATTTGACTCTGTGTGTCACAACCTACTCCTAGCCAAGTTGCGTGCTTATGGTTTGAATGATGATGCCCTCAGATTCGTACAGTCATACTTGACCGAGCGACAGCAAAGACTTAAATATAATTGCAAACTCTCTGATTGGCTTCCCGTTCAATGTGGTGTGCCTCAAGGTAGTCTCTCGGTCCCTTATTTTTTAATATATATGAATGACTTAAACTTTGCTGGCTAGATCGCTTCCTTGCGTCTATATGCAGATGATACGACAACTTATAGATCTCATCACAATATCACTTTCTTGGAAATCTCCCTGAACCATGATATTGACATCCTCCTGTCTTGGCTTTCTCGTTATTATCTTATGGTCAACAACATAAAGTCCCAAGCTATGATGATTGGAGATATTGCTTACGACCCTCAATTTATCATTGTTGACTCTAGAGTCGAGTTATCTAACTCACTCAAAATCCCTGGGGTCATAATTGACGACAAGTTAACATTAGCTGATCACATACAGAGTGTCATAAAAAAAGTCTATGCCAAGATTGGTGCCCTTAGGAGACTCAAAAAACTTATGCCTGTAGATGTCTCCCTATCGCTCTATAAGGCTTACATACTTCCTCACCTGGAATACTGTAGTCCGTTATTGCTTGGAATAAATAAAACACTGAGCTCTAAACTGGAATCAGTCAATAAGTACGCACTCAAAACTTTGCTTAATCTCGGCAATAGTGTTGACTACAATACAATTTTAGTAAGTAACATGACAACTCTAGAACATAGGCGATTTTATAGTTCCTTGGTATTACTTTTTAAATGTATGAAATGGAACGGTCCAGAATATATTAAAAACTTTTTTCAATTGCGGGAATCTAGATATAATTTAAGGAATAAAGGTGTAAATCTAGTGCAACCAGGGTATAATAATAGATTCTATCATAATTCCTTTACATATAAAGTTAGTCACCTTTGGAACAGTTTACCTAGAGAACTTAAAACAGCATCTAAGCTTAGCGATTTCTGTTGCAAACTTAAGACTTTCGATTTCAGCACACTAGGACCTCTCTGTAAATGTAATACATGTCTTTGACTTTCATTGTACATACACATACATTGTCATTTTTATTCATATTAATCTATTGCAATATCTTTCACCGAAAATAATGTTTAGACCCCTTTAACTATCAATATTAATTACCTACAAATTCACAATTATTATTCATACTCTAAACTTATATATTTTTACCAATGAAGTTTTTATTTTTTTATTTTTTATCTGATTCAGTTGACATTGTCGCTTGTGTTTGGGCTTTTGCCTTCAGCTCAAGTCTTCTCCTTTTTGCCTGTGTTAATTGAGTTAGTTAAATGCTGGAATTTATTTTGACTTATAAGTACTTCTTATAATGTACCTTTAATTATAGTTAATTTATAGTCTACCGTTTTATACATGAGTCTCTGGCTCGGGCAATTGGGCAACCATGCCTCACGTTAGACAATAAACTTTGATTGATTGATTGATTGATCCACGTACTCGAACCAATGAGTGAAAAGATGAAGTTGTTTGTGGGCTCCTTTTGGGGAGGCATAGTGTTTTAGTTGCTCCGATACGGGGTCTTGAATGTCCTCATCACAAAACATTAGGTAGTTGCTAGTGCTTTGAGGATCCCCATAATAACGCGGAGGAATATCTTTTTTTCGCTTGTACACCTGTTGTAATACGTTTAGAAATAACCAAATGTCCTCGTATTCTCTGACCTGGGAAACGACCCTGTGCCTTAGTTCTTTGCAGAATCCGTGTTCAGATTCGAAACCCAAGATGTGAAAGAAGAGAATGGACGGTCGAAGGGTCTTTTCACGCTCGTCTACGTGGAACTTGTAGTACGGATGAGGACATATGGAACTTTGATAGTGAAGTTCAGCGGGACCCCTTTCGTCTCTATTGCACATGACGTTCAGCCTTTCTGAAGTGAACTGTGAGTATCGTTGCACCTTGTGAGAACTGAACCAATTGATTCGTATCCATCTCACTTATCTCCGTTTCTATCTCCTCGATATGGGGATTACGTAATTTTACGTATTGAATGATGGGAGCATCGTACGAATACGTTCCTGTCAGGAGCGGTCGATACGGGACTTGTCTCAATAAGACGGTGGTCTGATCGCCTACCATGACAGGATTGCATAGAGAAGAATAGACGTACAAACTCCTGGGTTTGTTATCTTTCTTGTAGGTACACGTCTTGGTGTTTAGGAATGTCCAGGTCACTTCGTGGAGATAAAATACGACGGCTTTGAAGTTGAGGGAAAAAGACAAGTCGTAGAGGGTGAGGGAATGTTTACGAACACCACTTTGTCGTTTGGAAAGGGATTCGTGCCAACCCTGACAGTTTTTCAGGCAGTTACCGTATCCAAACTCAGGGTGTAAGTTTTAATGTTCTTGGAGGTTTCACTCTCTTCATCCAAGCTGACATCGAACTGTAAGTGTTTATTGGTGAGATTGATGTAGAACGTGTTATCAAAAGCGATGACGAAATAGTCATGTTCCACGTCAAAGAGAGCTTCAATCAAATCGTGTACGGTCACCAACCTTTTGTCTTGTACATCTTTGTAACGAACTATGGTGATTTTTGTGTCGTAGGATTGGCTTAGGGTATTGTATACTTTGCGCACAGTTCGTAAAAGTACGTCGTCAGCTTTCAAGGTTTGTAGATAGTCTTGTAATAATGATTGGCACGGTAGACTGATCCTGGCCAATTCTACCTCCCAATCGCCCTCTAGATCGATATGGTGCGAGAGGTGATTTTTCCAGGAATGATTCGTATTCTGTGGATAGTATTTGATGCTACCGTCATTGCTAGGTAATGTAACGTAGAAGTGATTCATCATCTTTGGACACTTAGCGCACACGTCTGAAATGAATGGTGAGTATGGACGGACCTTCGGTGAACTGAGCTAATTTATTTTCGTCCGTTTCTGTTATAGCTGTTTCGATGAAGGAGATGTGGTTGTTCCGGAGACACTTGTATTGAATGAAATGTGGTTCGTAACACGAATGACCTTTCAACGTAGGACGGTACTCCACTTGCCTCAATAAATCGGTCATTTCATTTCCCATGATGGTTGGAGCACATAGCGATGAGTAGACGTAGAATGCACGGTGTGATGGACCTCTCTTGTACGTGCAGTTTACGGTACATGTGAACGTCCACGCAATGGAATCGAGATAGAATACAATTGCTTTGAATCCATTTATGGTGGTGTGTTTAAGACCGTGAGGTCTATTCTGATTTGATCTGACTGTCTTAGACTCTATCCATCCCTTACTGTCATGATGAAACTGCTTTGTTAGATTAGGTCCAGTGGTCAATGCCTGAGCATTGTTTATCACGACATCTCTGACCCATCCGAACTTATAACACATGTTGTCACGTAACATGACGTAAACATTTTGTATCATGTTTTTGGGAGTTATGCTATCGTCTCTAATGTTTGTGGCGGTAACGAGACACTCTTCCTGTTCCTTGTTGAAGGATACATCAAATTGCTTATGGTAATTTGTAGGGTTTGGCTGAAAACCGCTGTCTAAACTATCGATGAGTAAGCGACGTTCGGTTTCGAATAGTGCTTGCAGTAAATCGTGTACAGTATCCATCCTTTCTTCTTTGATGTCTTTGTAATACACTGTGGTTACGACTGTGACATTCCCACCGGTAGTATTGAAAATACATCGCGATGTTCTCAAAAGACCGTGGTTATCCTCAAGGGTGGAGAGATATTCACTCAATAGAGATTCTGTAGGTAATGCAATATTCGTTAACCCCATTTCCCACTTTTTCCCACAGCATTCAACTGATCGGTGGTTAACCACACAAATTCCATCCCGTTCTGTCTGCTTACTGCACACTCATGGAAATGGTGGAATTTATACCGTCAATTTCTATTAAATAAGACATGAGGATGATGGTCTTTTGACTCTATTGGGCAGCACATTTCAAATGTAGATTGATCGTGCTTTGGGGTCTAGGCAATAGGATGGGATCGTCGTGTCTACCGTTTGGCACGTTTCAAAACGCGAAGACCGTAGCGTTTTTACCGTACCCCCAATCCAGGAATCGCACCATATTTCCGCTTCCACGCTGGAGACATCCTGTGGCTTCCAAGAATCTGTAGTACCCCCTCACATCTTTTCGACCATTCCCTGTGTTCAATTCCAGAGTTTCATAAGGATATTCTTCCCCATCTACAATTTGTTTGATGTATTCTATGCCTGCTGGTTGATAGGCAAAGGTATCTTGATCGTATCTAGCATTAAAGGCTGAGTTTTCCACGATAGCCAGTACGAATCGTTGTGGGACTTTGTTATTGAAGGGATTGTTGATTTCTTTGTAGGTGGCTCCATTGTCCAGGGGGTATTGTCTCATTTCTGTCCTAACAAAGGGGTAGAGGGCCGCAGATTTACTCAAGAGGCCCATCATATCCATGTAGGTGGACGGATCGAGACACATGTAGAAGGAAAGTTTAACATCGTCAGCGTGCATGCGCACGGATTCTTTCCATCCGAATACAAATCTCTCGCTTCCTTTTTCTGGGCTTTGATGCTAGCCTGCTGATTGTCGGAGAGTGCTGCAAAGGCGGCATCGTCACCTTTGACGTTTGTTGCTGTGTAAGTGACGGGAGAATCAATTTTGTTTCGCCAACCTCCATTCGTGGCTTGTAAGATGGTGTCTCCATCATTTCTGTCGTTGTTCAGTAGGGTCTGGAGATAGGCTTTATGATGGTACATGTCCACTTCTTCAGTAAGCAGCATTCTATTACATTTCACATTGATCTGCTTGAAAAGAGTATGAGCCAAATTGTTGGCAAAAGAAGTCATCCTTCCCACATCGTCGTTGCGGGATGTGAGATTGCCACCTGCAGTCGTCTTGAAACCCCACATCTATTTCCACAAACGATTGATACAAATCAATGAGATCCGATTGTTTGTCGATGTAGATTTGAATGGGTGTGATACTCGACGTCAGAGGGGGAATTTTCACCCATCTCGAACTCACCGTACTGAGATCGGTGGGTGGAACTTGAAAGAGAGAGATTCGGGTTATGTTGCGCTGACTTTATCATGTTATTTTCGTCGCCTCCTCGTGCATTTGCGACAGTGACGTTGCGAGGAGGATATTTTATAAGGAGCCCGTCGTACTAAAAATCCACCCCATTGTCGTTTCCTTCTATGCGAATACCTATGGAGAATGGTAGAGATGCGATTGTTGGTCCCCACGCCGATTCTAGGCTGACTACTACATACTTGACGGACGCGTGACATGATTAGTTTACTCTCCAAAGATGTCTTTGATTTTTCTGGCCACTTTTCTCTTAACTTTGTTCTTGTGGGCCGTTTTAGCTCCTCTCTTTACGCCACGTTTCACTTCAGAAAGGGATCGTTTGTTAACACCACTTTTAATACCAGTCCTCACTTCTCGCAAAAAATCCTGTGCCATTTCTTCCATACCACTCCCCATTTGATGATGAGTACCAGATCACTTACCCACAAAGGGTGGTGGACATCCCCACCGATACAAACTACCTCCCTTTTGGGGGACAGGGTGATGAGGTGGCGTGTACACCACAAATGGTCTCAACGTACCTCCTCTCATGATAACAACACACGTACAAATAATAGCATCTTTTATTTCACGTCATTTTTATGGATCCAACTATTGTATTTGGCAGGATACCCTTTCCACTTGACGTACAACTTATCTTTGTTACGTTTCAACACTTTTTCGACCCTAAAAAACGAGGATTCGTCCACTGTCACCTTTTGCAAGTCCCTGGCGTAAAAGGTACCCTGTAAAGGAGTGTTGTCCAATTCTTTCACCTTGTAGGTCGTGACGCCCAAAGAGGGAACCACTTGACGTACGACAAACACTTCCTCCGTCCATCCCGGTAGATAGCCTTTCTTAAAAGATCTGAATCTCTTGTTGAGACGTACCCTATCTCCCCCTTTAAACACGGGACATCGTTTCTTCCCTTCTTTCAAGCATCCGTCGTACAATCAATGCCATACGTCTTGCGCGTTCCAAGGTGTGACTTTGGCAGGAGCCATGCCTATGCTCCTATGATAGGTGTCATTATACTGTTGGACGAGTTTGGGTAACACATCTACGAATCTTAGGGTATTGGCGGCCGTGAAATATCTGTAGAGTTTGGATTTCAGGGTGCGATTGAAATGTTCCACGACGCTAGCCTTGGCATCCCCGTGCGTCGAAAAATGACGGATCTTCTCTCGTTTCATGAGCTACTGCAACGTTCCGTTGTAAAATTCTTTACCCGCATCCGTTTGTAATTTAAGAGGTTTCCTCCCTTTGGCTTGGGTGAGTACACGTCGAAAGGCTTCGGTACATCTTTTCCAGTCTTCTTCTTAAGTGATTGCACCCATGCATATTTGGATAACACATCAATGACAGTGAGAAGATAGCGATACCCCTTATTCTGTTTGGCAATCAATTGTACTTCTATCAGATCGGCCACCCATTGTTTGTCCATGTCGAACACCAGAACGGGTTGAAAGGCACCGCGCTGCCTTCTGGGTTTGTGTAGGGTATAGGCAAGATTCTTTTCCAATTCTCTCTTGGCACGCCCGACCGATATCTTTTGAGTCTTGGCATACTCTGAGACACTCCCCAGATTACCCACCACCCCAGGCGTAGAATAATCCAATAAGACTTTCATCTTATAGTCTTGATCGTCCGAGTCCTCTACTTTCTTCTTCTTCCCAGAGCGTTCCATCTTCTTCGACATAGCAACTTGAGGTAGAGGATGTAGGCGTAGTAGAGGAGCCAAGTGTTTGAAAAGTACTGAAGGTACAATTGCTGCCAAACGTATTTTGAATATCTTCCTTTGTAGAATCTCATAAAGGTCATGATGTGGAAGATCCTCGTACGTATAGGAAACTTGTGCGGGAGGACTTCGTTGCGAAACAAGTGGTGTTCCAAGCCCATAGGTACCCAGTCGTACAGTATGAGTTTATGAGGGGGTTTCGTGTTCGTACACACTATGAACTCAAAACCCGTGAAAACCTTGTGAAATGATTCATTGTAAATTCTCAGATTTTTCACAGGATTTTCATGGTTAAATCAATGACATTTTCATGGTCTCAGTGCCATGAAAAAGACCTGAAAAATCCCATGAAAAACCTGTGAAAATTTTCATATTCATGACCCATGAAATATTGAGTAAAGTGACCTAGAAGCCATGAAATACCCATGAAAATGGCATTCCATGGCCTTTTCAAAGGTACTGAGAAACCCATGAATTTCATGCCCAAAAATTTCATGGTGTCAAAGTTTACTAGTTTTTAATGGGTTGCAGCAAATCGTGACCCATGAATATCCTGTGAATATGTAAAAAATTTCATTGACCATGAAAATTTTCCTTGAATTTTCATGGCCTCTCCATGGTTTTTTCATGGCACATGAAAGTTAATTGCCAGTTAGTTTTCATGGGGTTGTTAGGAATATGCAAGCACCATGAAACTTCTTTGGAAACCCTATGAATTTGGAATTAAAAAGTCTTCACTTTTCTTGTACCAAAGACTGCACTACAGTGTATAGCTTGCAGTATACCATAACTGTAATACATACGCTATCACTTAAATTATACACTGAAGAACTACAACTTCTTGGTCCTGTTGTACAAGCACACACACATGAAAGACATGACCAGAAGTCTGGATTGTTTGATAGTTTAATTTGTTTCACCAGCTGTACATAAATATTACTTTAGGATTCCAAAATTGTGATAATTCAGTTTACATTTTCTTAAATCAAAAAAGTTGGTATGAAATTTTCTGCACTAAAATTAAGATGTTAATAATTTTTAGCTCTATTTTGATATCACTGATTTTCCTTGTGGAGACAGATTTTGCTCCTATATTTCTTCATACCTGTTTACTCTGATTTAAATAATTGTGGCTGTACATTAAAAATATTTCTGTATATTTAGACTATTTTGAAGGTATATTATAAATAAATGTGATGTGAAAAATATTTGGACGATATTATTGAAAATATACTCACTGGTTTAATGTATTTTTGTAAAAACTTCAAATATCATTTCCTTCATCTAATATCATGTGTAAAATGTTATGGACAGTTATTATAATGTCTATTTATGTAACAGCATTCATGTAAATTTCTTGATATGTTTTACACTTGTGATCAATACTCTCAAGGTAACTAATAACAAAACAATTACCAACTTTCTACACTCTTGCATGTGTGAAGATATATCTATGGCTGACTATGTCAGTGTCTCTCTGTTTTGGCCACCTGAATGTGCCATCCTTCTTTTGGTTATCATTACTATTTGCATCTTCATCATCATTTGGACCAAGATAGGCTGCTTTAGCAAGTTTGCATTTCCTTTCATCAGTTTTGTAGA